AAAAAAAAAAAAAAGAATAAAAAAAAAAAGGCATGTTCCTATACTTATTTATGAATGAAAAACAGGAATCCTTCAACATATGTGGACAAAAGACATATGAATAAATGATTGTTTTTAGAATACTGAATTCCAAGCTTACCAATGAATTTTGTCATACACTGAAGTTACATTCCCATTGGGGGAAAAATGGCCTCAAATGAATTAAAGTCACAATTAAACTCTAAGAAGGATGGGAAATATAAGAAATCATATTTTTACAAGTCATTCAAAGAGCTAGGTAAGAGATGGGGAGTAAAAACCAACAAGCTACATTAGGCAATGCCATGGGGTGAGATGGAGAGTAATCCCTAGATAGCGATCTTTCTTGTTTTGACCAAGCAGGGAACAAACTATTCTTGGAAACCACAGTCCTTGTTCTTTTTTGTTTCTCTTCATAGCACAGATATTAGAATTCCTTTAATGGCCCCTGCCGTCTCCCCCAAATTAATTTAAAATGTTAGAAATGTGAGTATAAGACTGAATATAAAATTAACTCTAATTTACACATTTCATAGAATAAAAATTAGCAAATTACATTTGCTTCTATGAAACTGAAATTCCATTTTAGGAAAAAGTTTTAAATGTAATGTCTTATTTTCTAGCTCTGACTTTATAAAGAAAATGTCAGATTTGGTGGATCAGTTAACATAGGGATTGTTTTTGATACTTTTTTTTCATTTAAAGCTTTTGGTTGCAAAATAAACTCATCTTTTAAAAATATGTTAAGCATCCAAATGCTAGTCAAACCTTAAGGTTTCCTGTTGATACCAATTAAGAGTAAAATACCAAATCTGCATATGACAAAAACATATTCTTAATCCTAGTTTAAACTGACCTAGCACTTTACACCTAAGTACATTAAGTTAAACACTACCTATTGGAGACTTCACTTTCAAGACAGTGATTTAAGCCCTGTGGCTTCCTCTCTTGCATCGTTTGCCACTGAAAAGACAACCTGTACCTACATGCTAGATTTGTCTTGCATAACCTCAAACATGAAGATTTACTATGTGACTTTTTAAAAAAACATATTTAAGATTTAAAATGTCAGCATTAACCAAAATTTTGTTTTAGATATTTTGCTTGATACAGCTTTAAAAGCTACATATGGTTATGACTGATGAAAATAAATGAGAAGGGATAAAAGCAATCTAACATATTGTTCTAACTTGCGAATTCCAAGTAAAAACTCAAGAGAGCTTTCCACTTTTATTCTCCCAGTATATCCTCAGGGCATGGGGGACAGGGTTCCCATTTTAACAAGCAAATGGAGACTCAAATCAAGTTTCTCACTCAGCAAGTCAATAATGGAGCCAGAACTAGAACTCCAAATTATTTCAATTTTGTTTATCCTTTAAATTCAAATCTAGATTTTACAGGTTTTGCCAAGTACATACTGATTTTAAAGATTCATGGTTGAAGAAAAATGTGAGAATATTAATTTAGAAAATACCTACATTTCATGTAGAATTGATGTAGCTAATTCTTTTAAACAGTTTTAAAAATCTCTAGGTATATAATTGTATATAATCTTAAATTATACCCACTTGGTGATTATTAACTTCCTTAGAGATAGTTTTGTTTTTATTTTACTGTATTTTGTCTTTCAGGTATATTGTTGATGATTTTGACGTTCAGCTTTTTCCTTCCATGGCTGTATAACAACCATACAACTAATAAAAAGGAATAACTATTCCAAAAGACTCAGACTAAGTAACAGGACAGTCAAGCTGGCTGCACTGGATTCATCAATGTCAGCGTCCTGTGAGGAAGCTGCCTTACACTTTTTCATCACTGGGACTTAAAAAAAAAATTACTGTGAAAATGAGGCATCCTGTGTTTCTCAGTTAAGACTTAATTCTTTTAAGTGTGTATTAAATGCTGCTAGAAAAGGCTCATTACATTAAATACAAATCTCAAGTGATAATTGTTAATTTTGATGAAAAAAAAAAAAGAGTACAGGGTGAGAATGGAAAGGAAGGTGATGGTAGGGCCAAAGAGTGTACATATCAAGTGTCTCCTGAATGAACGGGATTTTTAACCGAGGTACGAGTCGTGCTTATAGAACTAGAGAGAGGATACTTTTCAGCCAGTACCTCACACAGTGATACCATCAGCAGTGTCCTCTTTCAATAGGAAAGTTGCTTTTGGAAGTAGGTTATATATCCACTCATACTCAAGGGGTTTCCTAAATTTGAAATATATTCTAAAATATTTTTTTCTAGTCTCACTTGCTTTAGGCAAGTTGTTCTTCAAAAGGATATAATAAAACAAAGCACACACAGTCAAGATGTAAGCTTTTCACAATCTCATTTGATCCTAACGGCTACCTTATGAAGTAAGTAGGGCATGTATTTTTAATCTGTTTTACAGATAAGGAAACAAGTCTAGAGGGGTTTGCTGCCCCGCCCAAGGTCAAATACAGCCAAATACCATCTTTAGGACTTCTTCAATAAGAATCTTCTCGGTCATCAATATGACTAAAGGAAAACTGACTCTTTTGAAGAAACGTTAAATATTTTATACCATTAAAATTTGCTTAGGAATTAACTAGCTTTTTTGTTTTTTAGGTTTAAAGAACCTTCAAATTTTCCTCTATTAGAAGCTTTCCTTTATGGTATGAGGTCTACTTTATTAAAAGCTCAGGCGAGAAAAGGTTAAGTGTGTTTCTCTTCAAAGGAAATTCCATTATCAGGATTAGAACTGAAAGTAAAAAAAAATATATGGGGCGAGATAAGGTCTGTCTGAGTAATAATCAATTAAGCAACTGATAAATTGCCAGGTAATTTAAGTGCTGCTTGGTGATGAGCTTGTAGATAGTCATTCTCTTTACACCTGCAGGCTGAGCGGACCTGCTGCAGGACACCCAACCAGGAAGCCAGTCTGAGGTCGCGGACTTTGACTCTTGAACTTACAAATACATCCTGCAGTAGTTTCTATTTTAAAAAGCAGAGTTCATAAAATCATGACAGTGGCTAAATGCAGCTTCTGACATGTTTTATGTGACCTGCACAGTATTTTAAAAAAAATAAATAAAAAGCAAGTATTGTCAGTCTTTTTCACATACAATCCATACTTTTCTCTGGAAAAATATCAAAAGATCTGGCAATACTAGGCCTGATTTCTGCCAGGGAAACAACACGAAACGATTGTTCCCTTTAAAACGGTCCCTTCACCACTCCGTGTCTGCCGAACATGAAGCTGAGTTTCACCTGTTTCGTGGCTGCTTTTCTTACAGATTTTATTTTTTATTCATGTCTCTAACACAAGGACTCTGTGGTTTGAGAAAAATGAGTCATTTGTTAAAACGCTCGGCCCTCTAGATGACACTTGTCAGAATCCGAGTTTGTGACTTCTGATGATACTGCTTCTGAAGCTGAGAGGTAGCTGTTTTCTCTACCACCACGCTGACTGCACTAGGCCTGGAGGTGGGACAGGCTCCAGCCCCCTCGGCTCCCTATTAAAAACATGTCATCAGGCCACGGCGTCGGCTCCCTGGGNAAGAGTTTGAGCTCTGAGCAACAGCGGTTCAAGTCCCGGCCCGAGCTGAACAGCCACTGAGCTGCCAACAGGTAGCAGGATGGCTCAGCTAAAAAAAAAAAAAAAAAAAAAAAAAAAAAAGAAAAGAAAGTCGAGGAGAGAAAACTGGCAGTGAGCGCTTATGGCAGCCAAGAAAAGCAGGTATAAAGTAACTTGGGAAATGATAGCTTTTGGACAACTGTACATGGACTTAGAATGGTTTGGCAAATCAGCCTTCAACAGTAAGTGCCCAGGACCTGGAGCCACCATTATTTTCAGGAGGGAAACTGATACAAGATTATGATTAAAGGCTTAAACTCAGTTTAGAGTTACTTCTAATTCCTCCCTTATTTGAATAGCAGTGAGTTGTAGCAAATCTCTGCTTTGTTGTTTTTAATGAACTTGTTAAGGTTTCAAACATCACAAGTGGGAAGAGGTGACTCAAGAGCAGACCAGGACATGATCTCAGTCTTGCTGCTCCCACCTGAGCCAATCAGGGAGAGCGCCATTTCTGAATAAAAGGGCCGATGTCATTCTGCTCAGTCGCTGAGGATGGGGGTGTCTTATTCTTTCATGTACCCTCAGTGCCTGGTGTGTGGCAAGTGCTCAGTAAATGTCAATTAACCTGAACATCACCACGTTTGCAGACCTTGATTTCTTAGAGGGGGGGAAAAAAAACCCCACATCATTTTCAATAATTTCAGAAATGGATAACTAACATTTTTTTCAAACTGCTCACTTTATAGAGTTCTCCTGAATTATGAAAATAAAAATTATGAGATGATTTTCAAGCTTGATGACAAGGGAAAAAATAAACTACTTACCCCAAAGCAGCATAAAATTATTTTCAGTGATCAACATCTGCATCCTCAAACTGCCCAGCAACTGTTGGTGTAGCATCTACCTCCATCCCATCTGAAGAAAAAAGGGAACCGCTGAGCAATAGTCTGCAGAGCACTTCTGACAAGAGTCAGCTTATATTTCCACCAGAAGGAAGCTAGATAGTGCCCTCTGCTGGTAAGAGTTGCTATTTTTTTCTCTTGAAAATGCAAGTATCAAGGAACAAATTGAGAAAGAAAAATGCTACCTGTAGATTTAGACCAAGTTAAAATTAGTGTCTACATTTAACATTTACTTTGTAAATTCTCAACCTCAACACTAAAAGAACACTAGGTAGGAACTTTCAAACGCAGTAAGCATCAATTGTTCACTCCTTAAAGACCTGTGCCAGGAATTTCTGTGCAACTTTTTAAAAATATCGATAGCCTATCACCACAAAACTTCTGACATAGTTCAGGGGAAAAGACAAAAATAAGTAGAGAGGTTCTTGTTTTTTCTGTTTTTATCTCATCTCATTTAAATTAAGGGGGGGGGGCTTTGTACAAGAAAAGCCCTCTGGAAAGAGTTATCTAGAGGTGCTTTCTCCACTTCTTCACTTCCCATTCACTCCTCAACTCTTTAGCCAAACACAAGCTGGCTTCCGCCTCCAGCCCCTGGGGACCCTGCCGCCTGGACCTCCAGCAGATCATGCAAAACAACACATATAAAATTTACTCATCTTTCCACATAGAAAATGCTTCGCTTTCCAGTCTTGCCAAAGGATACCTCTTATCTGCCCAATCCAGAAATCCCAACCACATCTCTAAGTTCTGTTGCTTCTATTAATGTCTCTTAAGTGTCTCCAAAATCTGTTAAGTCATTTGACATTCACTGCCACTACCTAATTTAGGTCACTCTCTCTCATCTAATTTAAAATTTAAGTTACTTAATAGGGTTTCTCTTCTTTCCGCCAGTATTTCCCTCTGTAATTAATATTCCATAATATAGCCAGTCATCTTCTGGAACACTAATCAAACTAAATTTTTTCAATAGCTTCCCACTGATCTAAACCTAAAGTTGCAATTCTTTAACATAACACAGCTTCCAAGTTCCTTTAAGATACAGCCCAGTTCACAATCCATCTTTATTATCTATTGCTATAACTATTCCTCACACTCAAGAGTTCCAGACATAATGAAAAACTTTCAGTTCTCAAAGCTGAGTGGTCTCTTGAACCTTTGCACATGGCTAATGCATCTCTTCCCAACCTATATGCAAACCCCCTTCACCCAGGTCACTTTTATTCATCTTTCAGAGCTTGGCTTAGATGTCATTTACTCCATGAAGCTTGAGTCTCTCCCTGACTGTCCAGGCTGGGTGAAGGGCCCAGCCTCTAATTCCACAGCTTCTCAAGTTTCCCGTATATCTCTGTACCACAATGTACTGTAACTGCCTAATAAGTTAACTTACTTTTCTCTCCATTAGAATGCCATTGATATGGAGATAGTAACCTCATCTCTCTTGAGTACTGCTGTATTCTAGCACAGTAGCTCAAGAAACATCTCTTTACATAAATAAGCACATGAAGCACTGAAATACCATTAGTAGACAGTGTGTGTTTAAAGGGCAAAAAGACTGAAATTTACTAAGACAGATCTGAGGTGTTCTTCACACACACACACACACACACACACACACACACACACACACACACACACACGGTAATATGTGAGGGATGTAATTTAATTAGATTATCATAGTTATTTCACTACATATATGTATATTGAAACATCAACTTTCACATCTTAAATACATACAATTTTTATTTAAATCAAATTAAAAAAATAAATGCACAGGTCAAATTAACTAAATGACAAAAAGGACTTCAGAAGATGGGAAATGGTATAGGCTGAATAAGTTTTATATATAGGCAACTCTGAATATGCTAATGAGGCAGGCTTAGGAATAAAAGTCCAAAAATCTCCCTTTAGCAAAGTGCTTGAGACCTTAAATCGTTTGCTACAAAGCATTAAATAAGGAGTTTTACAAACTAAAAAACAACAACAACAAAATCCCTTCAGTGATGAAAAGCTTTTCAGTGGTCAAGGGCAATCACTAATAAAAAAATGTAACATCTTGAATTCTTTCAGCTAAGCGTTTGGTAGAGCACTAGAAACCATTTGAGACATTTCAACCTAAAGCCTATGTTAGAGACTCACCAGCTAAGGCTTAAAACGGAGAGAAGACATAGGAATAACTGTGTGACCCAAAGCCTAAATGTTTCCTAATTAAAATATCCTGGGA